GCGCGGGTTGCCCAGCAGGCGGAAGCGGCCGTGCAGGCTGAGCGCCGTCTGGCAGAGCTTGCTGCCGCTCGCCGCCGCGCACCGGAACACCTGCGGGCCGGCGTAGGGCTCGCCGGAGCGCCAGATGGCAGTCAGAGGCCCATCGTAGTGGCGGTGCGGGTGCGTGAAGGTGCAGGGCAGAATGGCCGCCTCGCCCGCCATCGCACTCACCTCTGCCGGCACCTGCATGGACCAGTGCTGCGACGGGACACCTGCAGGTGGGCGGGCGGGGTGCGTCAGCCTTAGCCCTTCGGCTCCCGCGCAGGACTCCGGAGGGACCCCCTGTGGGGTCTGGACACTCCAGGACTCCGGAGGGACCCCTTAGGGTGGGGTCTGGAGATCCACCCCGTGACTCGAGAGGCATCTCCAGGGCCCTTGACTCCGAAGACTCACCAGGTGCTTGAACCCTCCCCCACTTTCCTGGGACTATTTGCTTCTCTCTTCTCTCTGGGTGATTCCACCTCACCTAAGGCCGGATGACCCCATCACTTCCCCTGTTGCAGAAAAGCCCTGGGTTCCTGAGATTCCAAGACCTCCAAGATAATGAGAAGAATAAATGCACTTACTGTGCACGTCTGTGTTGAGCAAGTTCCCAGTAGTATCTCTTTTGGTTCTCACATATGATCCTAGAGGTAAACACAGTTATCCCTGGGTTACATGTTAAGGAACCGAGGCACAGAGAGGTTGAGTAATTGCCTGAGGTCACACAGCTAAGATGAGGCAAAGCCATCACTGAAACTCAGAATGGCCTGACTCCACAGCCCGCACTCTAGTGAACTATAGGTGTGGAATGTTGGGGCTCATCCAAGGAAACCAACAGTCTCATTCAGAGAGGGGAAACTGAGGCTCGGGAGGGGATGGTATGTTTTGAAGTTAATGTGTTGAGTTAGTGGATGAAATTCCTCTAGAATCTAGGTCAACCCAAGTGGACTTTCCAAGTGGTTAATGCCTAGTAGACAGGGAGCTGAGAGGCCGAGAGTGGTGAGCGGTTATCCTGCCTCCTTGCTCTGTGCAAGCACCTCTGGACTCAGTTTCCTCACTTCCTGCATTGTGAGCCTCTGAAGTCTGGTTGAGGTAGGATCCGGAACCACTCTGCCTCCAGCTCACAGAGCACTGGTGAGTCACACTGCCTGTGCACTTGAATATGTGCTGCTTTGAGAGAGGGGTGAGCAGGGTAGATGGGTGGGTGTCAGTGCTGGTTCTGGGAGGATCATGTCAGGGGTAGTGCCTCCCCAAAGAGGGAGAGCAAGCTTCACAGCTAGTGCTCCAGGTGCGGTTCACAAAAGGGATATTTAGAGGGAATAACATTGCAGCTCTTGTATTTCCTAAGGGCGTTGCAATTTACATAGTTCTTTTACATACATCATGTCACATGACCTTCAAAACACCCGGGGTAGAAAAACAGGGCAGATATTGTTGCAGATGAGAAAGTAGAGACCCAGAGTCACATAGACAGAAGTTGGGAGAAACCTAGCTTTTCTGACTCCAAGTCCAGTGCTCTTTGCTCTTTGTGGTAGCCCGACCCCAACTCATGCCCTGGGCAGGAATCCTCTCAGCTCACAGCTGGCAGACCATCCTCCAGGGAGCCCATCCCATCTACAAGTGATCTACAGGTCAGGGCATTCCTCCTGCACAGAAACGAAGTCACTCACTACCCATATGACCACCAGTGCTCTTAGGAGCATGCACATCCCCTTCTTGTGGTGGCCTTTCCAGGATCCCAGACCCATTAAGCCTTCCTTCCTTTGATGGAAGTCCCAGGCCCCTCCCCATTCTCACTGCCTGCTGGGTACTCGCCCAGCAGTGTAGTGTCCTGACCCAGGGCTCCAGGTGTGTGCTCCAGCTGCGTGGGACCAGCAGAGTGGGGTACGAATTGGCTGTGTGAGCTGTGCCTTGTACACAACCTCATTTTGTGCTTGTTCTGAGTTTGCAACCAAGTAAAACCACAAATTCTTTTTTCACACAATCTGCTTCTAAGCCAAATCTCTCTTCTTCTGGACAAGTGGAATTATGCTTTTGAACTCGAATGGAGCACTTGCCATTCATCCCTAGTAAGATCTTGTTTGCTCAGTCGTTAATAATCAAAGGGCCTAGTTCCAAATTTGTGAAACCTTTTCTGAAGCTTTTGCTGGTTCAGTCAGCACTCTCGGTGGCAGAAAGCGTCTGCCGAGATGCTCCTGAGGCTCCGCCCTCCCTCAGTTTCCCTGTACTTCTCACCCTCTGTAACCTCGGGCATTCCAGATTCCCCACGTATTGTTTGCCGTTGTGTATTCATCAGTTAGCAAAGATTTATTAGACACGTCCCCACTCTAAGCCAGGCACTGGGATACAGCAGGAGTTACAAAGATCAATAGAGTACCAGCCTGCTGGAGCTTGTGGCTCAGAAGGGGAGACAGATCTGGGGACACATAATTATACTGCGGCCTGCCAGATGCTCTCATGAGGGACACAATGTTCCCTCTGTCCGATCATGGTTTCTGGCCCATTTCACTCGCTGGCTCCCTTCTTACCTATAGTGGGAGGCCTTCCTTGAGTCCCAAGTCTAGGTCTGGTGCCCCACCCCTGTGCCCCAGGGCTGGCAGAGGTACGTCCTCTGTATGGGCACTTCCTCTGTATTAACTGTGTGTCTTGCTAGGGCACCCAGAGGTCATGCAGGGACCCCATACGTGAGGACATGGACTACGTGTGTGAGGTCACACTTGTGTTGTTATTGCCCAGCACGATTCCTGCCACATAGTAGGTAATGTTGAATGGAATCGCTGACAGAGCAGAAGCAAAGATGATCAGGCTGGCTGGGTGTGGGGTGGAGAAAAAGGCATCGTGCAGATATTAGGCAGGCAAGCGGGGCGTGGTGGGGGGGGCGGGAGATGCCATTTCAGCAGAGCCTTGAGAAAAGAGTGGGATGTTACTAAGCCTTGAGACAGATTGAAGGCTTTTAGACAAAGGGGACAACAGGGCAACACCAGGAGGCAGGGACTTCAGCAGAGAGGTTGCAGGGAACCACAGGATTAGAGTTCATAGTGCTTTAGAGGCTCCTTGGGGGCCATACCTCATCTCATTTCACGTGCACGATAACCTCACAAGGGACTGTCATTAGCCCCTTTTAGAGAAGGGGGATCTGGGGCTCAGAGAGCTCAAGTGACACAGCCAAGTCATTTGATCCACCAGAAGCAGAGACAAGGCTTTACCATTCCCTCCGGCAGCTCATACCCATCTCTTAGGACAGGGAAGGGACTACTCCTGAACTGGAGCCACCTTCTTGTAGGGTCTCTAATCTGCTTCTCTCAGGTCTGTGAACCTCCAGCAGTCACATTCCCCTCTGTCCAAAATACCTCCTTTCAATGGTGCGCCACGGGGCATGATAGAAAGCATCCCAACTTTGGCACAGCTGGACCTGGGGGATAATCTCACTTGTCATCCTTTCATCAGACTTGTATTCCTCACCCAATCTGTGCCTGGCACTGTTCTAGGCTCTTTCACTCACAGGGAGATGTTTGGGCGAGTTTCTTAATATCCCAGGTCTCAAGCTTCTCTGTGGCAAAAAGGGGAACATAATACCTTCCTCATAGGATGGAGGAGTGGATGAAATCGCATATGTAGATTACAGTGTCTGACCTTCAGCAAAGGCTCAATGCCTGTTAGTTCCCTTACTTTACGGCCCTGCAAAGGGAGTGAGAATAGAAAGGGTTGGGGTGGGGAGTGCTGACCAGTGGTGGAGCAGTGCTCTTGGCATATAACCCAGGGTGACGCCACAGGGGGTCGAGATGTTGATACCCTGACATGGCACCTTGCAGCTTGATTTGGCATCTTAGACCACGTGAAATAGAATAGCCCAGCCCTTACCCTTAACTCACCTGACAGCTAGTATTTATTCATGTATTTATTCACTCAGTAGATATTATTGAGGGTCTATTGTATGCTAAACATTATACAGGGTGTTAGGGATACAATGACAGTGACAATTAGTGGCCCTCCTCAGTATGTTTACCGTCTGGTCACTACTCGGCCACTGTTTGTTTTTCATTTATACACAATTAAAATAGCCTAGGGAAATAGAACGTGAAAAGCTGGAAAGTGGGTTCTGTTTGGAGGCCCACTGAAAGAGCCAGAAATGACAACTGACATTTGGTCAGGGAGGAAGGGTCCAGTAAAAATAATGAAATGACAGCTCAAGACAGAAATGATGAAAGTACAACACAAAAGGGACCATTTAAAGAAGCGAGAGCAGAGGGTCTTCAGGCATCACGACACTGCAGCAGGCTGGTATACCATATGTCCGCAACCATGACTTGAGTCGCCTTGCAAAGATTCGTTGCCAAGAGAGGCACGTTCTCCAGATGGGGGATCAGGGGTCTGTCTGGGGCTCTAGCTCTGGCTAGACTGACCCTGACTTTGTGACCTTAGGCAAGTTCCCATAGCTCTCTAGCTTCAGTGGGCTCATTGTGAAATGATGTGTCTAGATGTTTATTAAGGTGACTTTTTGGTCTAAAAGTCTATTGTGAAAATGATATTTGGATTAAAATGACAAGGAAGTCCATAAAGCATTTTAGAAACACGTCTATCTAAATTAAAAGATTTTTAGGAACTTAAAAAACAAGCCATTAGATATCCAGAAAACTCAACTCCCAGGAAAGATGCAACCATGCCTCAGTAGTCTCACACAGCCATCTACCACCCTCCCTACATCGCTCCCTCACGGCGATGGGTGCTCAGCGGGGAGGGGCCAGGGCTGCAGCACAGGGCACCAGCTCCTGTGTCATCATAATCATGTCTCAACTAAGGAGTAGTTGACTCTCCCTGGACTTACTGTCCCAAAGCCCTATGCCAGTGGTGCCAGGGCGCCAGGGCGAGATGAGAACTCGTGGGAGAGAGAAGCATATCTGCAGAACCTGGATGGGCAGAAGCAGCATCTGGATGGATCAGAAACAGAAACCTTGGTTTGGGCCACAGCTGACCAAAGGTTTCAGCCAGTCAGTGCCTTGGGGCGGAGGGAAGAAGATGTGCCTGGGAGGTCATTTTCAGTGTGTTCTGTGCTATTGGGCTTCTGTTGACTATACAGAAAACCATTTATTGATTTTGTCACGGAATGTGGGTCCATCTCTGTTCGTGAATCACAGACAGGAAAGCAACCCCGCGGTGGTCATGGACAGTGGCCAGTGGGAGTTCCCTCATGGAATGGAGCTTGAACAAGAATTAGGGCTTCTGGGTGGGCTTTGTGTGATAATTTTCTGGAGGAAACAAGTTATGGACTTCGAGGGGGAGGCTGATGCCAAGTTGGCAGTCACCCTGGACCTTCTGAGGGGTAGCCTCATGGCACTCAGAGCTGGGGCTCCTCAGAGGTCTGCTGTGCTGCTGCCATGATGGCTGGCATTACCAGTTGACAGGCAGCCATTGTGATGAGCCTGACTCTCGTAAGGGGGCCACCCTCTTCGGGAACGATGGGAGTGATAACAAGGGTGTTCTCAGAGAGTGACTCTATGGTGTCCTCTCAGGCATGGTGGCTCCTGGGGGTCAGGAGAAGGTGTTCTGGGGCCAAGGAAAGGTGTTCATCTTGGCCACCAAACCTCACCAGTTAGGTGTGGGGGTTGAGCTGGGGAACGTTGCCCGTCTTCCGGTTCCCTCCTGCCCCTCAGTTTGCTCCCGGAAGGTCTTCTCCATGGGCCTGCATGTTGTCCAGGTAGGTTATCAGTGGAGAAAGGTGAGAAAGGGGTAGAGTCTAGAGGGGCGAGGAGGGAGCTGAAAGAGGAATTCCGTTCTTCAGTGTGACCCACATCCAGAAGGTTCTAGGGGAGGGGTGAGGTACAGGGAGTACAGGGTCTGTGATCGCTTTCTGCCCTCAGGGTAATGCTGGCTTCCCCTTAATCCTCTCCTCTCTGGCTATTTGGTATGGCTATTTGCTGTCAGTTCACCTGAGCTGACAGATGCAGAGCCCCAGCTGACCCTGTCCTGGGGCCAGTGTCCACCACATGGCACTGCTCTTCAGAGTTCCGATTTAGCATGGCCCTGCCCATGCTCCCCTGGCCTCCTCCGGGGACACTGCTCCCTTTTCTCCTCCTCCTTGCTGGGTAGGACTTCTCTGCAGTAGCAACCAGGAGCGCAAGAAGCATCCTGGCTCATTCAACCCTCCCCTTTCCTCCTGGACCCGTGACAGCAGCCCACCTCCTCCCTGACTTTTCCTTGCATCCCATATAAGCAGCCCCATGACCTCAGGTGACAGCTGTGATTTGTCTGGCCTTTTTGGTTTGTTTTTCTGCAGTGGTTCAGAGCTATTGGTCAAGTCAGTTCCTCTGAGCACCAAGCTTTGCCCCAGGCTCAGCACCACCGCACGTTGGCATAGGCGGTGTAAAGCGTGGGTTGCACTCAGAAGACTCCAAGTCACATCCAGGCGGTGACTTTCTAGAAGGTCATCTGACCTTAAAACAGGAACAAAGATCCTCACTTTGCAGGGTTGTGATGAAGAATAAATGAGCTGCTCGCCGGAGGCCTGCCTGGCACAGAAGTCCTTGAGGATGACAGCTACTGAGATTGCTGCACCTGCTTATCATAGCTCTGGGGACTGATAGAGGACTCTTCCAAGGTCACCCAAGTAGTCAGAGTTCCCAGACCACTCCCATGTTCCCTGGCACCTCCAGCTTTCTAAGAGCAGATTTTGAGGGGGACAGAGGGGAAGGACAAGGGAATGTGTGGAGACCCGTGGGGACCCCGGGAGATGAAGGGCCGCCCAGAGCACTGGGGGTTGGGGGTGGGTGAAACCTGTGTGAAGGAGGGGGCACCGGGAGTGGAAGGGGGGCTTCCCAGGACGATTCCTCCCAGTTTGCTTTGGTCAAGGGCCTGCCTTGGGCCCCACACTCAGAGGTGTAGATGGGGCGTGGCTGTGACTCAAGACTCACATTACCACCCTCACTCTGATCAGCAGCCCCTGGGGTTCACGCAGCCCAGGCCGGCCCAGCGTGGTCCAGGGGCCTCCTGCGCAGTCCTGCTGCCCTGTGGAGAGGCCCGTAGGGAGACAGCACTGGAGGGGTCTCGGACAGTGGACCCTGCTCACCCTGGTTATGGGCCTCGAAGCAGCTGTGAAAAGAGTATGAAAAGCGTCCCGTCTCCGAGACGTTTCGCATGTGTGGCTGGGCCTTTCGGGTCATCTCAGCACACAGCTGGAACGCTTGTGTGGTTCGGGTTTCGCTCTTGACCGTGTGACTGCTCATGCTTCCCCTAAATCTTTTTGTGTTTAACTGATTCACAGCAGCTGACCTTCGGCAGGAGGGAAAACAAAACAAAACAAAACAAAACAAAACAACAAAACAAAACAAAACAAAACAAAACAGTATATATATAGTAGCGCACTAGCTTCTCTTGAAGCTGTGTGACTTTTGCAACATGTCACTGCCATTTATTGTACAACCCTTGAGTGCCAGGAACTGTGCTGGGGGTCTTTTATCCATGATCTAATTATTCTTCATCATACCACCATGAGGGGGCAGGGACCCCAGTTTACAGAGGCTCAGAGAAGTTAGGCAACCTGGCCAGGGCCACACAGCTAGTCAGTAGCAAAGCCAGCATTCGAAACCATGTCTGATGTCAACACTCTCATCCTGACCTGCCCTCTTATCTGCTCCGAGTCTGGGCAGGGTCAACTCCTCCAGCTTTTATCCACTAAGTGGGACCCAACCCTAAATCATCTCAGAAAGATGGCTGAGTCAGGTCAACTGGGAGAAGAAAGTCCTGTCCCCATCGGCTCCAAACCGCAGACTGCACGGGACAAAGGGTGGTGGTGGGGGGTGGTCCAGTCTAGGGCCACACGCACCTGGGTTCAAACCTTAGCTCTACCTCGCACCACTCACCGAACTCCGTGCCTCAGCTTCCTCATCTGTGGAAAGGGAATAGAATAGTTTCTTTCTCATGGGGTTCTGAGGCTCCTGTGAGTAACTAATCGAAGTGCCGGTGCTTAGTAAGAGCTCTGTGGGCACTTCCTGTTACCATCGAACCCAGACCCCGACTGGACTCGGCTCTGCGGTGAGTGCCGGAGAGGAAGGAGAGGAACCGAAGGAGTGGGAGTTTATTATCCCGGTGTGGAGACGGGAACCTGCATCAGGAATGTCGATTAACAGCTGACGACACCACGATGTCAGTGATGTCACCCTGCAGCATGTCACAGCCCGTGGCTGTGCACGCAGAGTCCAGGAGCACAGCGGTTGGAGGGACATTTCAGGCTGGGGTCGAGGGAAGGACTGAGGGCCGGACGGAGGGACTCAGTGGATGGCCTCTGTCATTTGTCCCAGTTGCCCTCCACAGCACGAATCGCCCCAGATGATAGTTGAAAAGGCAAATTCCTGGGTCTGCTGCCTGATTCTGTGATTCCACAGGTCTAGGGTGGGGCCGAAGGATCTGCGTTTTATCAAGTGACCACCCTTTGACGCACACTGTTCCCGGCCAACTCACTGAGCTAAATGACTAATGATATTGTTACTTAAACCTCCCACAAAAGTCACCCTTTGAGGTTTCTGCTGGGTGGTCAGGGTGCCCTCTATCACTTGCCCTATTCCCCATGCGAAATCACCCCCACCCTTACCCCAAACCATCGTGTGCTCTCTTCCCCACCCAAGACTGTGCCCGCCCATCAAGACGTAAATCACTTGGATGACAGCAACACCCAAAGTCTGTTCAGAGCCTGGACTGTGCTCCCTAAACCTTGCCCATTATCTCCCTGGATCCTCGCAGAAATGGGTGGAGCAGGCGGCCTTTCTACCGATGGGGAACTGAGGCCCAGAGAAGTCTGGGGCCTGCCTCAATCACCGGGAGCCCAAGGCAAAGCCCAGCTGTAAACTTCTGGTTTCTGTCACCACAGCCACCCAAAGCGCAGCTCTTCCACTTCCGCAGGCCTGGAGGGTCTGGGTGAACCCCACAGCTCTGAGGTCGAGGAAAGAAGGCTGTACCTAGGATTTCGTGAGCATCTATTCTGTTCTGAGCACGATCCAGAGAGAAGAGTAGGAAACTCACCCATCGAGAGGATGCACACCAGGCAGGCCAGGAGGCGGACGGACGCTTCCATGTTGTCGGCACCTGGAGAGCCCAGGCCAGCCCCTACCTTCGGCCAGACCACCAGTGCGAACACCCCTTGGTGTGGGTGTGGGGGGAGGAAGGCGGGAAGGGGCGGGTGGCGTGCCCAGGTCTGCGCCCCTGCTGGGCTCTGCAGGCGCTGGAGGAACTGGGGAGAGGCCGCCAGGCTGCCGAGGTAAGATTAGAGACCCGTGGGGTTTAGTCATGCGGAACACCAAGAGGAGAACCACTGGATGATTTTCCAGGACAGGAAACAGAGAAGTGGATGGGGAAGGACAGGGGCCTTTCCTCTGGCTGCTGGTCCCTTTGAACAAACTACTTGCTGTGCTTATGCTGCCCTCCCTTCCTCCCTCTTTCTTTCCTTCCTTCCCCCTTTCCCTTCCTACATTTTCAGTGTTCCAGGATGGGTTTTCTCTCTCTCCACCCCCTTCTTTTCTCCCTTCTTCTCCTGGCTTCTGGAGAGCAGTTTTGACAAGATGGTGAGAGAGTGTGAGGAGAAGCCTGCCAACATAATAACTCTTCCAAATGTGGCCATGGAAGGTTGTCAATACTTGCAAGGAAAAGGCTTATCGACAGATGATTAACTTTCATGTCCGGAGCCCCTCCACAGGGCCTGGGGTCTTAGAACTGCACTCTCGGACTTTGCTGGTCATAAGAATGGCCTGGGGAATCTTGTTAAAATGCAGATTCTGACCCAGTCCCCGGTGCTGCTGCTGCTGCTGGTCCATGAGGCACACTTCTAGCAGTAGGAGCTAAAAACCCCTCACCCCCATCCCGGGGCCACTGGCGGAATACCAGATGGAAGTCAGGACCCCCGGGGAGGAGAAGGGGGCTCCTGGGAGCTTATCGGATGGACTCTTGTGAGACTAACAGTTGGACTCCATGGGGACGAGAGGGCTGTTTGCTCTGTCCTCTGGACTGCATTGGACTGGACTGTCTGACGGTCAGACTGCTATTCTGTTGGTGCACCGGACTCGAGCCCTTGTGCTCCGTGCAGAGGTACATTAGAGGTGTCACTCTTCCTATCCAGGTGGTGGAGGAAATGCTGTGGGCCAAGCCCAGTTTTCACCTTGCTCATCACGAGCTCCTCCCCAGCTCCCTCTCAGACTCTCAGAGATGGGAGGGCCAGCCCCACCCACCCCACTCAGGAGGCCCTGCCCTGAAAGAGGGTTCTTTCTGGTGGCCTGGCTATTTTGGAAAAGTTGGTAAAGAGGTGGGTTAGGCCCTGGGGTCCCAGAATCCTCAGAGAACAAGGAAGGGTCCTCTATTGTTGGCTGGGGTACTTCCCCAACTCCCAGCAGAGCAGGGTCCCAGCTCAGCTCCAACTGCCTGGAACTCCATCCTCAGCCCCTTACTGGTGGAGCAGGCACAAACTCCACTCCAATTTGCTTCTTTCCTCTAAGCAGTGAATCAGGGGCATCCATTCAGGAGACGCGGACCTATCCCGTTCTTTCAAATAGCTCCATAGTATCCCATAGCATATTTTTAATGTAACATCATTATTTACTTAATCACTCCTTGTTAATGGATGTTGAAATTACAAGCAAAGCTGCAGGAGAACTCTGTGTACATGTGTCTTTATATACTAGTACTTATATTTTCATTGGATAATTCCCAGAAGGGGGATCGCTGGCTCATAGGGTATGCACATTTTGCGTTTTAATTATGCTCAGCTTATGTTCCTAAGAGAATGCAGTAATGATGGTTTACAGTTTCTCCAATAGTGAGTGGGAGGCCCTGTTTCCCGAAGTTCCCTCGTAAGAGCCAGGAAACTCAAGCCTGGCCAAGTCGCTCCTTTCTGGATCTCATTTGCTTTGTCAATCTCCGAAGTGCCCTTCAGTGCACAGATTCTTGCTCCAAATCTGAGTTCCAAGGGACTTGAACTTTGGAGAATCTGCAGCCTTACCTTAGAAGGCCATCCTGGGATGCTGCTTGAGGCTCGGGTGTGAGGAAGTGGGGGATGGAAGGCCTTGGAAGGTGAACCCTCTGCACCCAGATGTTCTCTTAGGAACCACCCCTCTCTAGCCACCAGGACTTCTCCCATCACTATAGACTCTAACTAAGTGTTTGTCAAGTGAAAGTCTCCTTCCCAGGCCCTGGAACTGAGAGGGCCCTCAGGGGCCGAAGCTCAGAGCACTAGCAGAGAGCTGGATTATAAGCAGTCTTGAAAGGAGATAACTAAATGGAGTAGAAGTTGTTTTTTTTTTTTAATCTGGCAGGCTAAGCAGCTCATCAGGGTCTGCTGTTCCCCAAGCTTGGGCTGGGTCGCCAGTGCCTGGTCAGGGATACACAGGCATCTGTGCAAATGTTTGTACTTTGAGCAGTTGACCCGACCATGGAGCAGTTTCTTGGCCATTTTCTCCCTTCAACAGTGACCTGATGCCTCTGCTATCCACTTACCTGAACTGTTGCCCTTCTGTGTGCACCTGCCCTGCACTGGAGTGTCCTCACAGTCTCCAACTCAGCTATGAGTCTCGAGAGCCACACTGCTTTGTTCAGCTGTCTGCAGACTTCTCTGCCTCAACATGTTCACAAAGCCCATCATTACCTTCCCTCTGCCTCCTCTTACCCTCTTCTCGGTCCTGTGATTCAGTGGGTGGGTCTCTCTCAAATGTGGCAGGGCGAGATGCTCAATGCATAGGTAGGTCCACACTGGCATCACTGCTTGCTCTGGTGGGTGTTTCATTCCCTTCAGGAGGATGATCCTTTCTGCCTCTGGTCCCAGCTCTGGCCCCGGGACAGGCTGTACCTACAGACATTCTTCCTGCCTTTCAAGGCCTTGCCTAGGGTCCTACTATCCCTGTGGTGAAAAACACCATCCTACAGGGACTCTGAAGATTCTTGTTGAATTTAGGTCATCATGCACTGATCTTCCCAAACTCCCTTTTACTCTTGGCATTCTACAATTACAGATCATGCAGGTCTCACCTTCCCAGATCTTAGATGTCTCAGTCTTAACAATTTATCTGAAGCTTACTTACACACTGGCTGTGAAAACTGCTTCTACCCTTCGGAGAAGCTCCGCACCCTCACTGTAGCAGACACTCTCAGTGTCCCACCAGCCTCCCCTTGGCAAGAACCTGTGGCTCTTTTCCTGGGAGCTTGCTCCGGCCACCAGAGCCTGGAAGTTTATAGAGTTAATGTTCTCCAAGAGCAACCCTCAACCAAGGATCCACAGCAGTGACGGGTCGTTATTCCAGCTTCTGTGACCCTTGACTCTTGCTTCTACAGGTCACCTCCCAAATCATCTACCTGTACTCAAATCCTTTTCTCAGGGTCTGCTTCCAAGGAACCCAGCATGAGGCACCAAAGGGAGCAAGCTATTTAAACGGGGTCATTCTGATGAAACTACTTGACTGTGGCCATACAGATTCTGCAGTGGTGATTATTGGTGGAAGTACAATTGTCTCCAAAATGCAGTCATCACTGACGACGGTTACTTTTCCAAGTAGCATAAATGAGACAGAGTGAAATTATGAAGCACATCAATCCAGACAAGCAAAATTCTCGGAACATTCGATGCCTGATCGAAATACCCTGCTGCAAGGGCAGAATCTTGGTACCTGCTGCAAGGAGATTGTCAGAGAGCTGGACAGAAAAGCAGCCAGGTAAGGGGGTGGCAAGATGAGCCAGTCCTTGGGTAGAGGGAGATGTTTTAAATAGCATAAAGGCTAATCTGTTGGAGAAAAGGGATGGGGAAGAGACAGACAGACAGACAGACAGACACTCCTAAATAAAACGGATTAGAAAACTGGAATGTGCTTTCTTTTTTCATACCAGTCCCAAGGCGAGCTGTTTAAATTGGCAGGTGGCCTGGCTTCTCCTGGTCATCCAGGGTTCCAGACCCCTTCATAGTGTTACTCTGCCAGCCCGCCACCCTTCCCTTCCCACCGGATGGTGTTAATGCCTCAAGGTGATACCCTCAAATTGGGTATCTTGATCGTAGTCTTCTATTTAAGCCTGGAATCTGGGAAGCACAAGCCTCATGTAAAGAAACCAGGCGTGGGAGTCAGATAGCGCATCCAGGAATCTGTATTTTATCCAGCACTCTGGGTGATTCTGACGTAAGCTTAAGTGTGAGAACCACTAGTTTAAGGAGTGAATGAGGTGAGGCCCATTGACCTCTCGGTCTAGAGGCTGCCAGGTAGCTATTTATGCACATGGATATATATATATCCATATATATATATATATATATATATATATATACACATATACACACATATAAAATACGTATACCTATAATACACACACACACACACACACACACACACACACACACATATATATACACATGTTGTATATATGCACACACATAAAACAACATATATACATTTATGTAGCACACATATATATGTATATGTGTGTGTGTGTGTGTGTGTATATATATAGTAGCTGCCCAGGTAAACTGTTCTTAGTGTTAGTGTTTGTGTTATTGGACAATGAACTGATGCTGTCTTCTCCCAGTCTCTCTGGGAGGGCCCCTTTGTGGCTTATAAGTAGGGTGACTATATAATTTACTATCCAAACTGTGGCACTTTTGTCTGAGACAAATGCTGAATGGTTGGTACCATCATGAACTGGGGCTGTCCTGGGTGAACCAGACATGTGGTCATCCTTCTAGAAACATCTTTCTAGAAAACATCCTGCACTATGAATTTCCTGGCAGAATGTTGCAAAAGCTTCATGGATCTGCACAGGAATACTGGGGTGGAGGGCAGCGGACTCTGGGGGAAGGCAGTGGTATGCCTGGTTATCGAAGGCAGAATTTTGCTTTTTCCTTCTGGGTTCCTTTACCTTGTTTTTCTCTGGAGCAATAGGATGTGTATTCACGGGTCTCTGAGGGTGAGCTACAAGTTGATGCTGGCATCCCCATGGTTGAGGACAACATGAGAGTGTGTGAACCAGGGGCCGTCGTGCTTCTTATAATCAGTAAGGTGGTGCACTATACGCCCTGCACAACTGTATGCGCTCGCCCTGTGTGAATGCTCG